CTAGGCTGATCTCAAATTTTCAGCCATCCTTCTGCCTCAGCCTCCCTAGTGCTGGGGTCACACAGGTTGGAACCATCCTGCTTGGCCCAAACACAGCTGCTTTGAACAAGATGGGACAGCTGGCCCATTTGGTCTGGTTCTAACAGGTCTCACGCAGTGGCCTGGGTCATCCAGTGTCCAGGCCCCTTCTCAGTTACCACACACTTCGTAGTCAGCTGCCTGGACACATGCTTTGGCCAAATTCTCTGGTGTCAGGCATTTCCGCCCTCAACTTCCCACCACATTTGAAACTGCTGTAAGTAACTCTGATTTCCAAGTGTTTGTTGACAGCCAGGGTTCCCACTCAGACTGGAGCCAAGAACACCTGCCCTGGCAGCAAAGGAACACGGCATTCTACGCGTGCTTGTATGTGCATGCGTGTGACGTGTGTCCTAGAACCATCTGTATCCCTGGCCAAAGAGTGTGCGAAAGTGGCTTGTTACCGATATTAACAATGTAATCAGGAGTTTCATCTCTAAGGAAAAACAAATTAACAGGGATCAGCAGAGTCCTGAACCAGGCTAAAGGCAGACAGCTAACCAACAAGGTCACGAAAGCAGATCTTCGTGTTACCAGCTTGGCTGTATACTGATTCTTCACTCCCGGGACATAAATCATCATGGTCCCATTATCCAGATGAGGAAACTGAGGCTCACACCAGTGAGATCACTCATTCAGTAGGGGGCAGCCCCAGGACGGTGTGTTCCTCCTGCTGCCTCTGGAATCTACCTGTCAGACCTGGCCCAGGTCCTGGAGACCACTGGGGCAGGGTTCTGCATAGCATTTTCAACATGCAATTTGGGCTGGGTGTAGCGTGTACATCTGTAAGCCCAGCACTCAGGAAGATCTCAAGTTTGAGCCCAGATTTGACAAAGCAGGGGGGCCTTAGGTCTCTAACCAAAAAAGCGCAAGAGATGAATTCCATGAAAAGTTCCATTAATTCCTAATTAATCCCTAGTACTGCCAAAAAGAAGGCCCAGGCCCAGGCCCGGTGGTGTACACCTGTAATCCCAGCACCTGAAAAGCTGAGGCTGTTGCAAGTTCAAAGGCAGCCTGGGCTGCATAGTGAGTTTAAGGCCAACCTGGTTAGCAAGCAAGACCTTGTCCCAAGAAAAAAGAAGGGAGGGAGGAGAGGAGGGAAAGAGATAAAGAAGGAGGGAAGGCAAAAAGAGGGGAAGGAGGGAGGGAATCTGCTGGCAGCGGCAATCAAGAGAAAGCCCTCCTCGCCAGGAGCAGGTCCAGAGAGATCGGAGCCCCCAGCCACCTCTCCCCGACTCACATCTCTTCCTGCCCGGGCCCTGTGTCCCTCCCACCTCCTCCCTGCCTCCCTTTGCTGTCCCTCGCTGGCCTCACCCCAGGGCCTTTGCACTGGTCAACCCACAGCCTGAGAGCCTGTCCCAGGCTCCCTGGGTTCCTCCTCGCCTCCAAGCATCCACTCAGACCCCCAACGTGACAGGACTCCTCTGTTTAAAGTGTGACCCCCACACACCATGATCTCTCCTTTATCCTTTCATTAGGGACTGTTATCGCCTTCTACCATGTTTCTGCTTTATCTGCTCCCTGCGGGAAGGCCAGGGGTCTGCGTATCTCGCTTGGGGCCACAGGCCCAGGCCAAGGTCAAACAGTACTGCCAAGCGCTGAACGCATATTCAGTAAGCATACCTCATGCCTTAAGCACTTTCTCTGCACAAGCCCCAATCTATTTAATCCCTACTCAACCCTACAAAGAGCGTAATTATTGTAACCCCTATTTTAGAAAAAGGGGATTAAGTCCCTTGTCTAGGATGTTACCAAGGGGGCCAGACAGATAGCACAGCGGTGTAGAGCACTGGCTCAGGCAAGCTTAGGCAAGCGCGCAGGGACTGGGTTCGATCTCAGGCAACCACCGGCCACCCCACCCCCTGGGTGGGCTGAGCCAGCCACAAAAATAAATAAACAAAATGTTACAAATACGCAGCGACAGGCATCAAGTGACTTCATCCGCCCTAGAAAGTGAAATAGAACCATTAGGGCGAGTAACAGTCCTGTTTCCTAGCTGAGGAAGCCGAGGCTCAGGGCCCTCATAACTGCGTCATTCCTGCCTGCGCCACTTCTCTTAGGGAACCTGTACAAGCTGGCCGTGGTGGTGCACACCTGCAATCGCAGTATTCGGGTACTCAGGAGGCTGAGGCAGGAGGATCATGGCAAATTCAAGACCATCCTCGCTACATAGTGAGTTCAAGGCCACCCTGAACTGCATAGTAAGGCCTTGACTGAAAAAAAGTTGGTTTTTTTCTTTCTTTTTTTCAAGAGGCTGAGGCAGAAGGATCACAAGTTTGAACCCAGTCTGGACAACTCAGGAAAACTCTTTCTAAAAAGTAAATAAAGAGGGTCAGGAAGATAGCTCAGTAGAATAAGTGCTCGCCTGGCAAGTGCAAGGTCCTGCGTTCAATCCCCAGTACCACCAAAAAACAAAAAAAAAAAAGTAAATAAAGGGTTGAGGAGATAGCTCGGCAGTCTAAGCACCTGCCCAGCAAGCGCAGGGACCTGGCCGGGTCTGATTCCTAGTACTACATGCTGGGCACACTGTGCCACTCAAACCGGGCATGGGGCCACACACCTGTAACCGCAGCGCTGGGGAGGCTGGCACAGGGGGACCACTACAAGTCTGAACTGCATAGTGAGACTGTATCAAATAAATAAATAATTTTTACCTTTCTACAACTTTAGTTTCCCAGATGAACTGACAACCCTAAGGACTGCTTCTGTTCTGCAGGAATCTGGGAGGAGGTGCCACAGGCTCTCGTTCAGTATCTCTGGTTCAACACAGATGTGTGGGAGGAGGGTGCAGAGCGAGTGCGGTGAGGCAGGGACCGGCACTGCAGCAGGGCCACCCTGGGAAGACTGAAACAAACTCTGACGCACAGCTTGAGAGTATCTTACTTCTGGTTCACTCTTGCCACTGACAAAGAAACTAGCTGAGGGAATAGTGGCCCCAGACCCCCCGAATGTGTGCTCTTGGCACGGTGCTAAGGAGCTTTTGCTCCTTTTAAGCGACAGGGTTGCACGGCATTGCCCAGGCTGACCCAGGCTCCCTGGCGCCAGCCACCCTCCTGCTCCAGCCTCCCAAGCAGCTGGGACTCTGGGTGGGTGCATGCCGCCCCCAGGCTGCAGCAAGCATTTTCATTCAACTGCCTCCCCGCGTCCTTCTGGCATTCTCACTGAGAGAGCATCCCCCGATTTTTAGAAGTGGAAACAGAAGCTCAGGAAGGCCAAACAAGCCATGCAAGATCACAAAGCAAATGAAATGGCTTTGTAGGTGACCACCAGAAGCCCGGATGAGAAAGATGGCCAGGCAGAGGGCCCCGGCCTGGCTTGGGTTTTAGGCCAGGCCCAGTTACCCCTAAATCCATACCTTTCTGCCACAACTGAAAGTCTGCAATGTGCTGGAGACAAGGAAGCAAAGGAGGGAATTCTAGGTGTCTGGGAGGGCAGGAAAAAGGATGGGCGGTTGGCGAGTGCTCTGTGAGCTTCCTGGCTCATCTGTAATGTGTGAGGGACAACAAAACTTCCACCCCATAGCTGGGGGATGCAAGACAACAGGCCTATCATCTCAAGATTCGGGAAGCTGAGACAGGAGGATGTACAAGAGTTCAAGACAATCTGGGCTACACAGTGAGACCCTGTGTCAAGCATGCACACACATAACACCCCCCCCCCAAAGCACTGAAGACAGAGAGAACAGCCTGGGCCAGCCGGATGAACAATTGTCCTGTGACTGTTAACAATAACAACAATTATGACAACAGTAACAAGTATGATGATGCCAACAGCATGAGGATGTTATCAGGTGGCGGGACACACCATCCTAGGAGGGGTACTTCCTGGAATGGAGAAGTGGCCACCCCTGTCCGGGCTGGCAAGCCAGGAAGTGAGGTGGGGTGAGAGGTGAATCCAACGGGAGCTGTTGTCACTCCTGCACTGCCTGATTGCTAGAATCGGCCAACGAGACAGGGTTCCTAGTTTAGATGATGGGGCCCTGGCAAAGTGTCTGCCTCCAGTGGCCAAGTGGGAAGATAAGGCTGGTGCGGGCCAGGATCCTACTCACTCCCCCGGAACCCGGGAACTGTGTTCCAACTTCATCCTTCAAGTCTCTCCTCCTCCTCCCTCCTGTCACCCTTTGTCAAAAAGGTTTGGGCTAGACGCACAGGGATGAGCTGCCCTGGGGAGGGCAGACAGAAGGACTCGCTGCGAAGGAGCCAAATCGCAGCAGGGAAGAAGCCGAAGTCTTCTGGCTCTTCCCTTAGGAGCACCAGACGAGAGGTCGCTACAGCCCAAGCACGCACTTGGCAGAAGCCAGCGAAGACAGCCAGGCCGAGGGGCTGATTCAACGCTGGTTCGTGAGGGACACAGATGGGCTGCGGGACAGCACAGGTCACCCAGGACAGCAAGGGGGCTGCCTGAGGGGCGGGGCAGGACAGATGGACAGCCAAATGGTGGTAGTAGCGAATCCTGTCTAGACAGCCAACAAGAGGGCGTGGGTTGCTCCAGATATACGAACCGCCAACTACTCCGCAGGGGTACGGGAACAGATAATCTAGAGGGCAGGTTCCGCCCCTGATGGACGGACAGACACAGGCGCAGGGCGATCTATCCCTGACCCTCTCGGGCAGCCAGAAAGGTGAGTTCCCCACACAAGCCGAGACCGGATACACAGCGGGGATCCACCGCATCTCCGGTTCCAAGCCACTCAGCCCGTGAGAGCTGTGGTCTGTGCCCGAATCCTGCAAGGAGCCCTCCGCGCAGGACTTGCGACAGCGCCCGCCTCTCCGTCCCTGTCCCGTTCCGTCCCGTCCTGTTCCGATCGCGGTCGCGGGCACGCAGGCGCCACAGTTACGCTGGCAGCGCAGGGCGCGCCATTCCCGGGCCGCCCTCCGCGCCCTAGGCCGCCGCCCGACCGAAGCTCCGCCGCGCTCGCTCACCGGCCCACGAAGTTCTCGAGCACCGAGCTCTTGCCGGCGCTCTGGCCGCCCACCACGGCGATCTGCGGCAGGTCCAGGTGGCAGCTCTGGCCGATGGAGCTAAAGGCGTCCTGCAGCTTGTTGACCAGCGGAATCAGCTCTTCCATCCCGCGGTTGCCCATGGCGCCGGCAGGCCCGGCCGGAGCGCCTCGCGCCCCCCGCCCGTCCTCGACCCTCAACGACCCGCCCCGCGGTATCTTTGGCCGTTGCTCCCCGCCCGCCCGGGCCTCGGCGCGACACCCGCTCCCGGCTCGGCCTCACGGTCGCCGCCTCATCCGGTTCTCAAGCGACACCCGACCCAAGCGACCTCCCGCCCCGGCTGGGGCTGCACCCAAAACCCTCCTGCTGGCTCAGATTGGTCGGTCCCACGGCCACTCCTGTCTATAAGCCAATGAAAGGGTGGTACGGGACTATGTCTCAGTAAGCCGTCCCCCTGGAGACTTCTCTGGGAGTTCATTGGAGAGAAGAACTGTCACTGTTAAGCAATAGGCCAATAGCAGTAGAAAACTGGGTTGTCAACGCCAGGAGGCGGTGTTTCGGGAAAAGACACGCTGACTCCACCCAATAGGAAGAGCCACTCTTACTGGCTAAGATATATGCCAATCAATAAAGTTTGCCAATGACACTAGGGATCGATCCTTAAACAAGGGTTTGTCACTCGCCGCTAACTAGTTCCCTAAATATTTCCCATTGGCCTATATAAATATCACTTCGTGCCACAGCCAATAAGATAAAAGAGGTGGGGGGCTGGTGAGATGGCTCAGTAGTCTAAAGCACCTACTTAGAACAAGCTAAGCCAAGCAAAGCAGAGGGACCGCGGTTCAATCCCCCAGCACCACATGCCAGCCAGCCCTGCCCCCTGGTGGGCTGAGCTGGTCACACACACACTAAATAAATAAATAAATAAATATTAAAAAAAAAAAGATAAAAGAGGTGGGCCTCAGTACCTGAGTCTTGATTCTGATTGAGAATTATTCCTGTCAATAAAAAAAAAAAAAAAAAAATTCCCGTTTTCTCTAGTAATTCAGTCTACTGAGGTAGGAAATAAGGTTCTTCGAAGGGCGACACCTCGTGGTAGGACTCGGTGATCGTCAATTCTGAGTTTCCGGGTTCTAGAGAAAACCACAAGTTCCAGAATGCATCTTTGGTTCCCATTCTGAAAGCCGGCCGTGAGAGCAGGATCCCAAAGCGGCCTCAGGGTCTGCGTTAGTGGTCTAGTGGAGAGCATAGCTGCCCTCCCCGGGGGCCTCAGAAAGTCAGGCGGCGCTTGCCGGGGAGCGCAGGCTGTCAAGTCAGCCCTGGCCAACGAGATGCGCCCCGGGCTTTTGCTGGGAATTGATGAGGGCAGAGCTCCCGTTTGCCTACACATCATGGATGTTTTTGAGAAATCAGTGATGATCAACGGGGTCCCATCCCTAATGCAGAGAAGGTCACGCTGTGCTGCAGGCAGCCATAGAAGCTCTGGGATCTGGAACTCTTGAGCAAGAGTCGATCTCCCTGAGCACACGAGCCAGGGAACAAGGCGCTCGGTGAGGAGGCCGCGGCCATGCGGAAGGAGGAAGAGGAGGACAGGCATGAGGTGCACAGGGCACGGTACAGGCCAGGGGAGGAAGGTGCCCGCCCCACGACGCCAGATCGCAGATCCCATACACATGGGCAAAAACACAGCCAACAGGATGTGGGACGGCAGCCTTAACACTGACTGCAAATACCGGGAAACAACCTCAAGTTGTCCATTAAAGGAGTTGGCTGACCACCGCTCCGAAGGCACTGTGAAGAAGGGTAGGAAGCTGTCCGTGCAGTGGCATAAGACTTGGGCAAACGCAAAAAGCCATGAGAACAGCACCCTCCAAGCTGCAGATATGCATTAAAAAACTGTACACCTGGGCTGGAGAGGTGGCTCAGTGGTCTAAAGCACCTACTTAGAACAAGCTAAGCTAAGCAAAGCTCAGGGACTGCTGTTCAATCCCCCAGCACCACATGCCAGCCAGCCCCGCCCCCTGGTGGGCTGAACTGGCCACACACACATAAAGTAAATAAATAATTTTAGGGCTGGAGAGATGGCTCAGTGGTCTAAAGCACCTACTTAGAACAAGTTTGGCAAGGCATCAGGGACCGCAGTTCAATCCCCCAGCACCACATGCCAGCCAGCCCCGCCCCCTGGTGGGCTGAG